AAATTCATGCTCCTCTTTATTAAATCAGTAACAGCCATTCACAGATAAACTGACTCCCATCTCCATTTGCCTAAGTTGAGTGGAAGAAACAGAAATGCAGTCTTCAAACTCTTTACAGCAATGAGAAATGAAGCGCTGAGAATTGATGTCTTTATCACTAACGTTGAAGTTTCATGCTAGGCCGATGTTATATTATAAAACTTATGCAAAAACTAATAAATGAATCTAAACTTCAATTATGCCTGTGGTAGGGTGCTCCATAGATGCAAGGTGCTACAACCTAAACACCTTGTCATAAGTAGACAAGAGTTTGCTAAAATGTCACATATAAGTGATGCAACACAACTCAAATGAATGCCTTTAGACACTAAAGTTGATCTCCAGAATTCAAGCTTTCCTAAACTATCTCTAATCTTATCCACAAGAAGGATATCATCAACAAAAAGCATACACCAAGGTACATCCTCTTGTAAATGTCCAGCAAGAACATCCATAACTAAAACAAAAAAGATATGTGCTTAAAGTTCATCCCTAATGTAATCCAAATGAAATAAGAAAAAAATTGGTCAATTTTCATTGTGTTCAAACACAAAGAACAGCATTAATATATATATTTCTTTTCTAGAACTCTTCAAAGTACTTCTCTTAGAATCTTATCATAAGTTTTTTTTTTCTAAATCAACAAAAACCATATGTAGATCTTCCTTATTCTCCAAAAACTTATCTATCAAACCTCTCAAAAAACGTATAGGTTTCATAGTAGACTTGTCCCGCATGAATCCAAACTAATTTTGAGGAATTTTAGTATTACATTGTAACATATGTTCAATTAAACTACCATAACTTTAATGTATGATATAATAACTTAATTTCCTCAAAATTTGCACTCGTGTGCCTCCCCTTTATTCATAAAAATAAGAATTAATAGACTTTTTCTCCACTCATCAAACATCTTTTTAGCTTTTAAAATAATACTAAAGATTTAGTACACAAATAAATTCCCAAATCTCCTAAACATTTCTATACTTACATTAGAATATCAATAGGTCATACAACTTCTCCACACTTAATTTTTTCTTTAAAGCCTTCTCTACTTCCGTTTTACTACTTTCATAGTAGAAATAAAAGATTTAGTTATTATTTATGATATTAAGATCATTAAAATTGATCATATTTTCACAATCTGCATTAAAAAAATTTATCAAAATATATCACCCACATATGTTGAATATCCTCATCTAAGAAAAATATATTTTTTTTATTTTCAGCATTAATATACTTTATAATAACAAAACCTTAGCATTTCTTTTTTTTCATTTTTTGCAAATTTATACATGTATCTGTTACCCTTTTTATTATCAAATTTATTATAAAAAACATTAAAAATAGAACTTTGAACATTAGAAATTATTCTCTTAGGCTCCAAATAGGCCACCTTATATTTTTTTTAAATCTCCAAGCTTTTACATATAAACCAATTTTTATAATAAAACTTCTTATTTTTAATATTTTCTTAAACATTATTATTTCACCGCCAATCATTTTTACTCATAAGAGTTTTTCCTTTTGATTCTCCAAGCACATCTTTTATAACTTGTTTAATAGTACTCATTAATGTATCCCACATAGAATTAATTTCTTCATAAACATCTCAAATCTCAAGATCTTTAAGTTTACTCATAAAAATAATTTTACTTGTTTCTTTTAATTATTCACATCTAATTATATGGCAATATGTTATTATACTTTTCATCTTCCAACACTTCATTTTACAATTCAAAATCAGGAAGATGGTGCGTAACTAAAATTTCACTAATAATGATCTTACAATCTTTACAATCTCAAATATCTATTTTTCTCAAAAAAAAAATTAATTTGTGATTTATTAGATATATTTTATAAATCATAATATGTTTATTTCTTTTCTTAAATAAATTATTAAGAATAATAAAATCATAAATTAAAACAAAATCAAACATGATTCTACCTTCTTTATTAGTTATTCTAAAATCACAGTCATCGTGAATACTTCTAAAATCTTCTACTACTCTACCAACATATCCATTTAAATTTACTCTAATAAAATTTTATTTAAGAAGTATCCTTACATTAAGTCCTTTAGGTCATTCCAAAATGTTTATTTTTAAACATATAACCAAACTTACTTGGAGGCATAAGCACTAATAACATTAAGGATCTTTAAAACTATAATTCTATTTCCAATTTTATTATTTTTCACAATATTATCTTTCAAGCTCTTGTCTATAATAATGCATATATCATTTCTAGTATGATATATATCTAAATATCAAAATTTAAAACCCAAGTTATTAATCTCCTTAGCCTTTTTTATAGCTCATTTAGTTTCTTGAATGGATAAAATATTTATTTTTCTATGAACCATAATGATTACTAATTTTATTAATTTACAATGAAAATACCTATATTTCAAGTTCAAATTCTAATATTAGCTTCATGGACTAACTACTTTGTTAGTATCTGTCCATAACTTGAGAAATCTTGTTTATTTGACAGTAAACCTGGGCACCGATACCTTATGTCGTTTTCAAAAGACGTCTAGCATTGACACAATATATTAGAAGATTTTTATACTATAGTTTTTCGACAATTTTTTTAACGTTGGTTGTTAACAACCTAACATGACGCTCAACTTTTCACATCCGAGACTTGAGACCAAGCAATCACAGCGTTGCATTAAAAGCGAGATATTGAAATTTTGAATTAAAATATAAAGACATCAAAAAATTTAAAAATAATAATTTGAAAAGTTATTAAATGAACATTTTATTAAACAAATTATTTTGAAAGAGCATAATCAACTAGCCAATAGGTTGAATCATACATTAATTTACAAAAGTGAAATGGAAATTCTAGTTAGATTTCAAGAAGATACATGATGGTAAAGCTTCCAGGCCAAACTAGATAAAATTTTGATTTACATTTATGGAGGGATAATGTAGTGATTTGGTAATAAAATCTTTTTAATAAAAAATTGAAGAGTTAAAAAATGTCAAATGATAAAATAAGTAATATAATACCAATATTTAAAGATAAAGAAAATGTTCAAAATTGCAATTATTAAATAAACATCAAAGTTAAATCATATAAGAGTTGTTGGAATATAGGCTTAGAAAATTACTTCAATTTAATCAAATCAATTTAGCTTCGAGCCAAAGAGATCTGTTGGGTAAAAGAATTTTGTGTTAAGAATTAATGAAAAAAATAGATAGTAAGGCAACAATATTTGAATGATTTATATTGATCTATTGATCTTGAAAAAACATGTGACTGAGTTCCACAAGAATTCAAAATGTGTTTCAAGGATATGTTAATTTTTTAAAGATATGAATGTTGAAGCATCAAATAATATTGATCAAAGATTTTCCAATTATAGCAAGCTTCAATCAACATTGAATCCATATCCTTATTATGGTTAAGGAGTCACAAAAAAAATCAAAGTGAAATGTTTTGGTCCATACTTTTAATAGTTAATATAATTTTAAATTGCAATAAATCTACTAAAATAAGTGAAAAGTTAGAATAATTGAGAAAAAAATTAGATAATAGAGGGCTTGGAAATAAGTATAGACTTAATAAAGATTATAACTTTTTAATGGTTATGACAATAATAATTATTAATCAATATTATTAGATAAAGTAATATCTAGATGATAGATTAAATCATCTTAGATCTATTACAAAGAAAAATAGGGATATATATGAGGATTTCACTCTTAAAAGTTAGTTTTTAAAATATATAAAAGTTGGTAAGGAGTATCATCACAAAATAATGACATGGAGACTTAAAAATAAATTATATAAAACTACAATATGACGACCTATGTTGTATAGATCCAAGTGTTAGGTAATAAAAAATCATTGATATTTAAGTTGTGCATGGAAAAAACAAGAATATTGATTTGTGACAAGATAAGTTGAATAAATTAAAGAATAATCATATTAGGTAGAAGTGCCCTAGCAAGCAAAGTGAATACTAAAAATGCACATACTAGACAAGCAAATAAAATTAACAACTAAGAATTAAAAAAAATGGTTAGATGTAAGGAAATATAGTTAAAAGTTACTTAAAATGATATATGAATAATGAATTTAATCCTGCATAAAGCATTTAAGAGGTATAAATGAAAATTGAGAATTCATAAATTCGCCTAAAATGTAGGTTGCAAAGGATTCTTGCCACTAAATTCTTTTAACACACTAGTACATGCCTAAGCATATACTAGTGAATCATGAATTTAATCCTGCATAAAGCATTTAAGAGGTATAAATGAAAAATGAGAATTCATAAATTCAGGCCTAAAATGTAGGTTGCAAAGGATTCTTTCCACTAAATTCTTTCAACACACTAGTATATGCCTAAGCAATATCCAATCAAAATTGTAAAACTGGTCCTTCTATATAATAACTTTAAAATCATAAGGCAATTTAAAGCTATGATTTCTCCAGAAACCAAATTCAAATTAGCTATCTGCATCCAATATATCAACTAATTCATCTTTGCAACTTCTTTTACAAAGCCACGTCTACAAGCTCTCCATAATAATGGTCTGATAGCCATTAAATAGTTAGGGGGTTTTAATTTTAAAAGTATCTCTACAAAGTTCAATACAAATGTGAACAACTAGGAAAGTCATTCAACTTGGTTGACGGAAAACTCACATTCCAAAGTTAGATTATATTTTTATATTAATCTACATCAATTGAGTTCTCAAGATACCAAATCATATACCCTCCCAATATTATAAAAACATATATGAAAATCCTTTCTTTGCTAATTGAAATTTCTTATTAATTATCATTGCACAAAATCGCCTCCACCATCAAACTTTCTTTGGCATAGAACAAAATTAGGTCTATGATACCAGTGCTATAATCATAGCCTACGTTCTATTAGCATCTGCAATAACTTCGCTATGGGATAGGACAATGGAACATAGGTTGTAGAAATCAAGTTGGTATTTTAAAAAATATCAACTAAAAACAAGTTGAAAGGGTGCTGTAATCATCCCTAATCAACATTATTCAACCTCCAAAAACAGAAATAATTCATCCATGACTCCATCCATACTAAAAGACCTTAACAGAACAAATACACAAATTTGACAGGTAATATTAGTGCAAAACTTTACTTTATTTATTTATTCGCCTTTGTTCTCCAATGACGAACCTTTCCCCTCTGAGGAAGATGTAGCGACTCCAGGAGCATCAACAGCAGGCTTAACCTCGCCGGAGCAGCACCCTCCACCGTGATGGTGATGATGTTGATGGCCACGCGTGATAGCCTGCATCTGCTGCCTTCCCTTAAGCTGCTTCCTCATATCATAAGCATCCTCCCCATCAGCGTAGTATTTGGCCTCCAAATCGTGGATCTTGTAGCCAAGGGTGGAGGCGTAAAGATTGAACGCGGCGCGGTTGCTTCGGCGTACGTGGAGCGATACGTACTCAGCACCAAAGACGCCCTCCATGGCGTTCTGCGCGGCGTTCATGAGCTTGGTAGCGAGGCCGAGTTTGCGATGAGTTCGGAGGACGGCGAGTGAAGTGATGTGGCCATGACAGGGCTCGGAAGATTCCTCCTCCATCTTGGCGAGGACGTAGCCGACGATCTTTCCGCCATAGTCCTCGGCGACGAAGAGGAGCTGCGGCCACGAAAGGATGTGGTAGAAGTAGTACTTCATCTGATAGTTCTCAGGAAGGCACATCAGATTGCAGGCCTGCATCGCCAGGAGATCGTCCATCGTCGCTTGACGGATACAGACCATGGCTAGGGTTTAGGTTTTTCTCCTGGGAGGGGCGGTAAGATGACTAGAAATACACAAATCTTAAGCTTTTACATATTTAACATTTAAATTTTAGAGATTTTACATATAAGCCACTCAAATTACTAAATATAGAATTTCAGCTCTAGAAATTTTTTATTCAAAATTTTCACTAATAGTTGAAGGAGAGTGATGTAATAAAAAAAATTATTAAAATGTTATTTTTAAAGTTTATGTAGTTAAAAATATTATATTTATTATTTTTGATAGTGAGTATCTAAAGAGGGCCCTTCAATTTTAGAGACATTTACACGCATATCACCCAATACTTATGTATTTATATATGAATTACCTAAACTTTAATTTTATATTTATATCATCAAAATTCTTCAAATCACATTAGAAATATAACTTCTAACTTCTAAAAGGTAAAATACACTTTTTCTTATTCTTAGATAAAATTGTGTGTGTGCGCGCGCGCGCGCGCGTGTGTGGGTGTCTATATATATATATATATATATATATACATCTCACACAAAATTACACA